CTGCAAAGGCTGAAAAATCTTGAAGTCTGTATGAAATTAGAGGTAGTTTGAAGATTAAATTTTTTATGCTTTCTAAGCTAAAAACAAGTGTGTGGGGGTTTGGGGGTCGTATTATACATGAGATCGTATTATACATGAATAAATACGGTAATTCTTAAGAATTCGCCACATCCTAGTTTACCAAATTAGTCTTTCGGTGCCTAACTTGACGTGTATTTTCATWCATTACAAGCTGGAACTCTTTCTAATTCATGTTTAAAACTTTTAAGATCCCCCCCCTAATGTTACTTGTGTGTCCCTGCACAGTCACCAGCCTACACTCTGGTGTGGACCCGGAGGGGCATCGGGAGACTTCCCAACCGGGCCACGGACTTCAACGGCATCCTGACGATTCAGAACGTCCAGCCTGAGGATGCAGGCATCTATGTGTGCACAGGMTCCAATATGTTTGCCATGGATGAGAGTACTGCCATCCTGTATGTGCCAGGTTTGTGATGCTCGGCACAGATTTCAGCTCCCTCCACCTGCTACCATCTCAACTCTGGCTATTACAACACACCCCACTCCCCACACACACACACCCTTCTCAGCTTGGATTGGTGCATGCTTGTCTGTTTTGCTGCATTGTTTCCTGTCTGCTAAAAAGGCTAATTTGTGGGTTAGCCACATTATAACTCCTGGTGCGTTTTAAACTCATTCTACCAATCTATCCCTTTCATCTGCTGTCTGATGTTTTCTACTGTCGTCTCACTGCTTTCTATGTCTCTTCTTGGACTTCAAATAAAGGAATACAGCTTGTGGGTTTGTTAACAACTAAAATTATAAAGCACTAAATTTCTACAACAAATGGGATCTATTAAACAGTTTTAATTAAGCTAATAGACCAAAGACCAAATCACCGCCTGTTTGGACACATATGAGTCAAGCTTTCTTTCAACACTTGGCTGAAGCTGCAGCAGGTTGTCGTTTTTCATGCGGGTTGATTAATCTGTGGTGGTTCAGTTGCTTCTCATGACCTGACAGATCTTTGCTTTGGTGCTACCAAACGTTTTACTCTCTGGGTGCTGTATGTTTATAACTCTGGGCTCCTGGACTCCTCCTGCCAGAACACACGAGTACTGTTTGAGGTATTCACATAAGACTTCAGCCGAACTGCATCAAATAAATAATTGGAGAACGTTTTTTTGTTTTTTCTCGCTGTCACTCCTTCAGTATTTCTTGAAAGAAAAGACAAATGTTGATGAACAAAATGGTGCTGAAAGCCAAGCAGCTGGTGAAAGTCATTTTACACGTGTTGTAACTCTGCTGCAGGGGTTCTTGTGTCTGTTTGTAGTTTTTTTTTTTTTTACTTTTTAAATTTAGATGTTAATGTTTGAGTTCTGAGCTGAAATGCAGAGAGAAGGAGATAGCTGCAGTTGTGTATTACTTATCATTTATGCTTTGCAATTGTTACTTGAGCATTTTATATAGAAATGAACTGTAATCGTATCGCAGCGTATCAGGGTTACTCAGAAAAGTACATTTAAAATAAAATCTTTCTTTGTTTTTGAGTTTCATGGTTAAAGTCAAAGTGTTGAGATTAAAATTCAAATGAGAAAAAAGTATGTTTTTCAAGAATACAGTCAAAATTGTGCAAATAAAGCTGTTTTTTATATTAGATTAGATTAGACTGTTAATGTCATTGTACAGAGCACAATGAAATTACATTATATTAAGATAAGAATCAAACATAAAAATATCACCAGGGATTTTATAGTGAACAGATTTTAATTTAAAAAAGTGAATCTGATGTTTTGTTATCTATGCTAACAATTAGTTTAGTTTAGTTTAATTAATT